AAAAAAAAAAAAAAAAAAGATTATGTAGGAGTGTGTGTGAGTGTGAGTATATCTTGTTCTTTTAATTCCATAAGGAATTTTGTGAGGAAATAGAAAGTTCAGTCTTTGCTGAACCATTTAACTTAACTTTTTTTGTATATAAAGTTCTTTCCTTTATTACCTTATTTAGTTGCTATTTTTGTGTTAGGGTTTAAACTCAGGACTAATTTTTGCTGTGTAAGCATTCCACAACTTGAGACCTATCCTTAGCCTTTTTTGAATTTTTCTTTTCCTTTAGCTGTTTTTTGGGTAAGGTCTCTTACTTTTGCCTTGTGCTAGCCTCATGCTTCAATCCTTCTTCCTACAGCTTGTATGTGTTACCATGCCCATCTTTTTGATTGAGATGGGGTTCTTTCTCTCTTTGTTTGGGCTGGCATTAAACCATGATCCTTTCCACCACTGCCTTCCAAGAAGCTGTTATTACATTTGTGAATCACAATGCCTGGCCTAATTTTTAATTTTTAATGGTGTTTAAAAGGAAAAACCTCCCAAGAAATTAGTAAGAATAGTCTAGTAGACATTGTTAGTAGTGATTGATGCAGTTTGACAGCTTGAAGATAATTTAAATTATCTTAGAATACATTTGAAAAATAGACAAGGGAATTTCTGTTTTTATTCCAATTTTCCATTTTTTTAATTTTACATTGTTTACAACATGGGATTTATTTAAACTTTAGAGTGGGCCAACAGTAGCTCAAAGAAGTATTCTAGGCTTGCGCAGAGCGGCTGTGCACATGTTCCTATTCTGATGTTTGCTGGTTGTGGAGATGGCAGAGATGGAGACACAGAGTGCCACAATGGTGGCTGGCGGGCGAAGAAGCGACAGGCTGATCAGCTGTCCTCCGCGGGCGAGGATGGAAGTGCTGTGCACGTGGACATAGAAGAGGGCCGGCAGGCCAAGAGGCTTGTCTTTCCTCCCCTCGCTGGGGATGGATTCCTGAGTGGGAAAGAAGAAACATGGAAAATTTCAGTCCCAGCTAATAGATACACACTCTTAAAAGAAAACTGGATGAAGATATTTACTCCTGTTGTAGAACATTTGGGGCTTCAGATATGCTTTAACTTGAAATCAAGAAATGTAGAAATCAGAACTTGTAAGGAAACCAAGGATGTTAGTGCTCTGATAAAAGCAGCTGATTTTATGAAGGCCTTTTATTCTTGGGTTTCAAGTGGAGGATGCACTTGCCCTCATCAGGCTGGATGATCTCTTTCTAGAGACTTTTAAAATTACAGATGTTAAGCCCCTCAAAGGAGACCATTTGTCAAGGGCAATAGGAAGAATCGCTGGCAAAGGAGGAAAAACCAAATTCACCATAGAGAACATGACACGGACACGGGTAGTTTTGGCTGATGTGAAAGTTCACATCCTTGGATCCAAAACATCAAAATAGCAAGAACTGGCATTTGCAATCTCATCCTGGGAAATCCGCCATCAAAGGTTTATGGAAATATTCGAGCTGTGGCTGGCAGATCAGCAAAGCGATTTTTATTTCATATCAGAGACTTTTTATCTTTGTACTTAAAAAAAAAAAAAGCCCAGTGAAGCTGGGGCTAAAGTGGTAGAGTGTTAGCTTTGAGCAAAAAAAGCTCAGGGACAGTGCCCAGGTCCTGAGTTCAAGCCCCAGGACCAACAACAACAACAACAAAAGCCCTGACATTCTGCAAATGTTCACACAAAACCATGTGGAGAATGTTTCAGTCACATTTAAGCTTGGGTCCCTTCCTCCATTCTCAGTCAGAAGCACAAACAAAAAGAGAAGGTTTAGGAGTATTCACATTCAACAGCTTATAGGATAAACATCAAAATGGAATACGATTATACATTAAGTATAATTTAACATGTTTCTCACTTTAAATCACATGTAGATTTGCAGTTTAAAATCCTCCCATTTATAGCAAACTTCTTTTTTTTTTATTGTGAAAATACTGTACAGAGGGGTTACAATTACATGGGCAAGATAATGAGTACATTTTTTTTTTTTTTGGGTCTGGTTGTGGGGCCTGACCTCTGGGCCTGGGTGCTGTCCCTCAGCTCTTCAGCTCAAGGCTAGAGCTCTACCACTTGAGCTACAGTGCCACTTTGGGCTTTTTTCTTTTTGCTTATGTGGTGCTGAGGAATCGAACCCAGGGCCTCAGGCATGCAAGGCAAGTGCTCTACCACTGAGCCACCTTCCCAGCCCCAGTGAATGTGTTTTGAAAGTAGACAGAGCTGGGCACTGGTGGCTCACGCCTATAATCCTAGCTACTCAGGAGGTTAATATCTGAGGATCACAGTTTGGTTCAAAGCTAGCCTGGACAGGAAAGTCCCTGAGAAAAATAGAAAAAAAAAAAAAAACAAAAAAAGTAGATGGGTTGCCCTAAGATGACTTGGAAAGATATAAGGAATGGGGAAAAATGGAAATTGGGAGTAATTTTTGTTGTTTCTTGTGTAAATGTTTTAGTATAAAAATATAAATCCTAGTCATTAACAGTCTAATAATGTTAACTATCTAATATACAATTTCTATTTATTTTTGTCAGTTGTGGGGCTTGAACTCTGGGCTTGGGCACTGTTCCTCAACTCTTCAGCTCAAGACTAGTGCTCTACCACTTGAGCCACAGCGCCACTTTCGGTTTTCTGATGGTTTATTGGAAATAAGAATCTCATGGACTTTCCTGCCCGGGCTGGCTTTGAATTGCGATTCTCAAATCTCAGCCTCCTGAGTAGCTAGGATTACAGACATGAACTACTAGTGCCCAGCTTCTAATATACAATTTTAAGGATGAAAAAATTATGGGAATCCGGGCACTGGTGGCTCCTGCCTATAATCCTAGCTACTCAGTAGGCTGAGATCTGAGGATCGAGGTGCAAAGCCAGCCTGGGCAGGAAAGATTGTGAGACTATTATCTCCAATAAACCACTAGAAAACCGGAAGTGGCACTGTGGCTCAAATGGTAGAGCACTTGCCTTGAGCTGAAGAGCTGAGGGACAGTGCCCAAGCCCAGAGTTCAAGCCTCACCACCGACCAAAAAAAAAAAAATTATGGGGAAGAGATGAGAGTCTCAATATTCAGCCCAGGTTGGTCTTGAACTCCTAATTCTTCTGCTTTAGTCTTCCAAACACTGGGATTACCACTACAACTGTGTATGCCTTGAGAGAGTGCTATTTGTTTATTTATTATTTTTACCAGTCCTGGAGACTTGAACTCAAAGCTTGAACACTGTCCCTGAGCTTCTTTTCCTCAGGTTAACACTACCACTTGAGCCATGTCACTACTTCTAGCTTTTTCTGTTTATGTGGTGTTGAGGAATTGAACCCACGGCCTCATGCATACAAGGCAAGCACCATACCACTGAGTCACCTTCCCAGCCCTCCGGAGCTTCTTTGTGTTCAAGGCTAGTACTCTACCACTTGAACCACAGTGCCACTCCAATATTTGAGTGGTTACTTGGAGATAAGAGTCTCACTGGGACTTTTCTGCCCAGGCTGGCTTGAAATCACCATCCTCAAGTCTCAGTCTCCTGAGTAGCTAGGTTTACAGATGTAAGCCACCGGTACCTGGCTTTATTTTACTCTAATTTTTAATTTTTTTTTTAAATGCTGGGTATCAGGGCTGGGAAGGTGGATCAGTGGTAGAGCGCTTGCCTTGCATGCCTGAGGCCCTGGGTTCGATTCCTCAGCACCACATAAGCAAAAAGAAAAAAGC